GCTTTATTTTACCTGGCAGTAAAAAATATCAGTAGTCTTTTAAAAGGCTGTTTTTATTTAATTACCCCAGTGAAGAATTATTAGGTTTTCTACCAACTTTTCACTCTTAAAATGGCATGAATGTGAGACAAAGTACAAAAGGTGAAACTGCTGACTTTCAGTGATGTAAACATTTTGAAAGAAAGTGTCTTGTTAAAAGTTTATAACATTTTCTCCACTCTTTCTTAACTCTTCTCAACTCTTTCTTTTTTGCTGAAATGAGGCACCATCAATCCCACATTATCATCAATAAAAAATTGGCTTCCTATTTTTTTATTTCTATCTCCTTATCCTTTTGGTGATTAAGTATTATATATTTTTATATATTTATTAGACAATTCATTTTCTTATGTAAATTTCCTTTATTTGCTCTTTGCCCATTTCCTTCCCTGTAGAATTGTTTTCCTTATTTATTTTAAGGAGCTCTTTGTATATTAGAGATATTAACAATTTTTTTTGGCAAATATGTTCTCCCAAGGACCTTTAGAAGGTATTGGGTGGCTGTGAAGTCCCTTCTCTTTCTTATTTGTGCATGGCTCATCCCCTTTGTTGTCCCCTTCTTTTCTATTAATATTTGCCCTTTTGCCTAGTTTATTTTCTGCTTTTTTGCATCACTACTAAACTAGAAAAGAGTGAGGGACATAGAATTAAATATTTGAACAGGGCTTGTGACTTTTAGTTGAAAGGAACTGAAAACTTAATGTGTATACAGGATTTTGTAGGAGCGTTCTGTCTTTTCAAATTTTTCATGGGGTAACATTTCCTTCTGAGCCTTGAATAATGACTGACTGTATATTCCAGTGAAAACACAGAACTCACTGCCATACCAGCTAATGAAATGTAAAAAATGCAGTCTGTCATTTGGATGCTCCAATGATCAAATATTTTGATAACTGACTACATATTTTATTTTTTAATGCAGAGATTCAGCATTCTATAACTATGGATTCTTAATGACTTGGGACAAAAATATTAGCATGTATGAACAACTGAAGAATGAGTGGCTGCAGAGCAAGAGTTTGAAATTAATATTAATTCACATACAAAAATAAATGATGGGTATTCTTAGCTGTATGTATATAATATATACTTACAGCCACATTACTAGTCAAATTTATGATCAGTTTCCAAATGTTTGAAATATTTCTGTGACATTCCAAGCCATAATGTTTTCTTTAAACAGATGCTGTGCTAAATTATTTTTTTCATACCATAAAAACAAAAATCCATAAAAAGTGCTCATTAATTCACATGGAAAGGCCTGGGGCTGAGAGATAGGTCAAAGTAACACAATCTTAGGGAAAGAAAAACAGTCTGAAAATGTCATATTTTTCAGGAAGGCATTTGTATTGCTAGCTCTTGGAGCTGTGTAAAGGAAAGAGAAACAAATGCTTAATATTTTTAGAAACAATAAATTCCTATGTCAATCCCAATTCTCACCAAATAAAAAATTACTCTCATCTTTTTCCTCCTATTATGAGTCTTACATAGACTCTGTCCAGTCATTCATATCTTTCCTTAGTGTTTTTATTTTATTCAGGCTACATTGATAGACTATTCTTGGTGCTGAACTAATTTTAATATGAATAGATTACTGTATATTTTATAGTTTGGGTATAGTCATTGATAACCATTGAAAATCTTGTTTATGGTAACCACTGAGACAAGACAATTTAAAACTCTCTTCTTTATACAATTAGAGAAAATTCCTGGAAATACTTGTTCTTAAATTTATTCTTAAAATTATATTATCAAGAATAAAGACATGGTACCATTATTTAGGGAGTAGATTTCCCTGCACTTTATAATATTAAAATATTTATTTCTAAAGATAATTGTTTATTTTCATTGGTAAAGTGTTCTACAGAAAAAATTGTTATGCTTCCTTGTTTTGTTTGCTCTTAAATATCAAAACAAATATTTCTATGTTAGCTGAATGTGGAGTTATAAGGTTTGGTGTGATGGATTCTATCACATTCAAAAGTTTATATCTTTAATATAAAGTTTATATCATATTTTAAAAGTTTTATAACTTTAATGCCTTGTGCTTTTGGCAAGTTGTAATTCAGGAAGGCAGAAAAATCAATTTTAATATGAAAAAAGAAAGTATTTGACAGCCAAGATAATCAGCATTTATGCAAACTGAAAATTACTTGCCCGCCAAAACAACCATTTGTGAAGATTTAAGAAAATATAGAAAATGTTACGACTGTTTATAAGTTAAAATTCATTGCGTCTACCTTGAATCCATAGGATATATTTTAGCTTATTTTTGTTTTTAAAAAATCTATGAACATAGCAACTATATTTAAAATAGTTTACACTATAATGGGCATATTTATTATGGTTATAGTTAATAATCATATATAATGAGATAGACTTAAATCATGTGTTGGAAATTTAAGTTATTTCAGTTATGCTGTCATAATAAACATTTATTTTTCTCCAAGTCTTCTATATGTCATTCGTCTCTTTCTCTTTTCTGGGCTAAGCTTAGAATAAGAGCCAATAAAACCTGGGATTCAATCTGTCTTCTCAATAAAATTATTGGTACCATTGGTGGTCATAGGAGTCTTCAGTGGTTCTTTATATACTCTTCTTTGGCAATGATTATACTTTAGTTTTGGGGCATATGTGACTAGCGGCATTTAATAACAAAAAGATAACATCTCATAATGTTATATTACAACCAGTCCTTCCACTAATTTAAATTCAGATTCATTTTCTTTATTTAAGAAAAGCAAATTTGTTTGGAAATACCAAGAGGGAACAGAAGTGGCCATTTCACAGTGCTTTATGATTTAAAAAAATCAGAAAACTTAACTAATATACCTTGTGTACTTAGCATCTGTTTATCAGAAATACCAGTGGTTACTAATTAATTAACTGATTGAACAAATAAAGTCTATTCATTATACACTTTTGTACAAAGAGGATTTCATTTGGAGAAAAATTTCTACTCTGACATGATTGAGAGAAAAAGGATAATCTTGGACGACATCAAATTAAGTGTGACTAGTTTGTAGTGGCTGATTTAACATATGACATAGACATTAACTCTGGGTATATTATGGGCTTTAGTGTAGGATCGCTAGAAGGATGTGATAGATGCATGTGTAAAAACTATTTTACACATGCATTACATGTTCTAATTCTACGAGTATGCTGGAAGTGTCTAAACAATAAATTTTAACTATAACCATAATTGTGAGACAAAGCTAAAAGTGAGACAAAGCTAAAAGTGCGACAAAGCTAACCAGAGCCACCTGGGGAAGGAAAGAGCCTCAAGGACTTGTTTACACAGTTGTTTCTAGGGGAAAAAAGAAAAAAAAAATGCGGTCTTCAGTCCAAGACCTGTCAATCCAATTTTTAAAGATTGATTAGGTAGCTGAGTTTTTCTTCCTTTTATCCTTGGAGAAAATGAAAAATAACACTTTCTCTTCTACTTTAGACTCACCATTCATATATTTATGACAGTTTGGTCTCACCTGAGCCATCTCTTTTCTAGGACAAATTATGCTAACTCTTTCTGTCTGTCCCCATAGGTCCTATTTTTCAACCATTAAATCATCTTATTGTTCTTTCTTGTATCTTTTCCAGTTTCTTCAGTCCCTTTAAAATTCTGAAGTCTTAAATTTGATATCTTTGCATATATTTATGTTAGATGAGTTAGAACTTTAGGAGCGTTATTTCTTCCTGCTAAGTGAGAGAGACGGTCACTATGACAGGTAGATTGGAGAAAGGAGATAAGAAGAAAAAGAGAAGCCAGATGAGCAACTTAATATTCAAGTTATTGGATTTCTATGATCAGAAATAGCAAAACCTGTGTCTGGAAAATGTCACAAAGGTTTTTAATAAGTCCTTTGGAAGATACCAAAACACAAAAAATTATCAGAAACAACCAGAGCTACTTAAAAAATCTTTCAAAAAGATTTTTTTATCTTTTATAAAAGATAAAAGATAACTTTATGCTTATTTTTACTAATTATCCTTCTGTAAAGGAAAAGATTAGTAAGTGAGCTCCAAATTCAGAGCAAAAAATAACAGAGAAAGATGGCCACTGCCAACTCAAGAAAAGGGATAGGAATTTAGCATGAGAGTGAGTGAGCTTATCTTAATTAGGGGCTAGAACCATTTTTCAAGCAATATTATTGACAGAGGGAACATTTGTGGAGTGTGGCCTAGTAAAGAATTATTTTTTCCTTTTTGGTAGTACATGGTCACAAGGCAAAGTGCGCTATTGGCTCTGTTGATGCACTGTCTTGGGTTTATAGCATTGCATTGTCTTCTCTACAGCATCATGTTGATTTGGGGTGATTGGGATATTATAGTTGGTTCAACCTCTCCATTCCATGAGGGACAAAAAGGAAACTATAATGTTGTAAATAAAAGAAGTTTCCCTCTGTAGCAGTTACTGTGAGAGAATAGTTCCACTATAATAAAAACCTTGAATAAAAGCCCTAAACTTTTTATTACTTCAATTTAAGTGCATTGATAATTTTATTTACTATTTCTTGAATTTTATATTTAACTTCAAACCTAAGGTCTTATCTATGTTCAAAACAAAATACCTGGCTTTTACCCTACTCTATATCCTGGGTCATGTACCACAAAATGGGGTGAACTGCTCCATTGGCTCTACAAAAGAGAGGAATGCAGTCACTACAAAAGGATGGTACTGTGTTCTTTCCAATATCCTCCTTTTAAATCAACACGAAATAATAAGGATCACAACAAAGTCAGCTTACAACAGCTTTAATTCCCCAGATGGAAAGCTGCACGATAAACCCACTGCAGCTTTATTTTCACTTTAAGGTGGGATAAAACTATACATCCGCCATGCCCATATTGGAAAGCCACAGGCAGATCTTAGAGGGCTCTTGCATTGAATGGTGTGCAGTAGTGAGATATTTGTATTTTGTGCTAACCCCTCTTCGAAAGCTAATGCAGTGTGGTCTTACCATTTTTGCAGACAGGACAACATTGTTCTGGTTCATAGACTGGGTTGACACACTCAGGAACTGCGCAGTCTGCTACAACACAGTGAACTTCATTGCTGGGCTCACAGCGACACCATTCACATGGAGAGGGCTAGGAACAAATCTAAAATTAGCCCCTTTTCTCCTATAACTTAATGCTTGCACATTCATATGCTGTCAGAAGACAAAACATCAGTGCTTATTATTTTGGCTTTACTGTATTAATTCCATTTACCATGTCTATGATCATTCTCCCCCGGTGAAAGGCAACCTAGATACCCAAGCCACAGTGGATTACAACCTGCACTCGGGATGCTGTGAACAAGTAAAGCACCTGTTTATGACTTTTCCTATATCTTATGTTCCTACTTTCCAGAGAAATATTTGCATAACTAATATGCCATCTCCTGGTTTGTTTTCCAGATGTACTGATTGCTCTGACCTCCTCTGGTAAATAGGCATTCTACTGGAACATGTAAGATAATTTTTGCCATCTGTCATTTTATTCTTCTTGAGAAAGGAGAATTACTGAGAAACAAGAAAATGGTAAGTGGACATCTGTACCCTTTGTGTGAACTCTTTTTCAAGCTAACTTAGACTTCAAATGGCATTTTTCTATGTGAATATTAGAGAAGATTGCATTTAGGAACCAAACATCCAGGTACTGCCTCTTGAAAGATTCAGTGAATACCTTTCATCTTGCCTGCTTGCTTTTATGAATGAACAAATCGACTGGCTTAAAAAGCCACTATGTAAGAGTCAAAGACTCTAAAAATGGAACTAAAAATGATAATTAAGGGAAAAAAATTAAGCATCAGAAAAGAACATTTGTTTTTGCAGTACTTACCAACCGAGAGTGTTTGGAATTTTCTGTTTCCTTTCTAGAAACTGCCTATGGCACAAATAATCTAAAGCAGGGGCCACCCTCTGACTTTCTCATCCTTTGTAAGTTCTATCTCTACTTTTCTCATGGAACAGAAGTTTAAAATTCTGGAATGAAAATTTGGAGGTGTCAGAAGTCATACAATGTCCACACTTTTCAAATCAAGCCATTTGTTCTTAGAAAGTTCTGCCTCCCATCTGATGCCACAGATCCTCACCTGCAAACTGTGCTAATTAAAGCCCTCTTCCCTTGTTTCAGTGACTACTGTCCAAAACCCTTGTCAGCTCTTATTTCTTCCCTGGATCTGACAATCTGTGTAATATCAATGTTGCTTAACTCGGGCAGTCTGTAGGTGTAGATGGCAACCCTTCAACTAATTATTTTAAAAATTCATTTTGTTTTTGCTTTTTGCTTGGAGAATGAAAGCCTAACTTTAAATTACTTTGCTTTCAAATTTAGTATGAACAAAACAATTAGCCATAGGATCTGTGGTAAAGTATTGCTATTTGTTAACATGATCAATACATTTTTGAAGTGTGCAGTTAAAGTCTTTACCATGTGGTGAGTTGTGTTTAAAGATTTCAGAGAAATCTATTGCATTCTCAGGTTGAGATTTTTCTGATGCTTTTCTGCTAAATAATCTCAGCAAATTAAGAAAAAGATTAGAATCTACAGTACATTATTTAATGGAGAAAATTAGCAAATAAGAGATGGAAACTCTTGTTGCTCTTTTGCTCCTTATTTTGCAAACCTCATTGTGATATCTAAGATTCCCAAGCAAATTTGTCAGAATTTTCCCCTTTCCTTGGTTAATTACAAAGAAGTATTTTCACATAGCCTTCTGAAATGCAGCAAAGACTTGGATTGTATTTACTGCCAATATGGGGGAAAAAGGAAGCCACTAGTATAATCCTTTCCCCACAGCTAGCATTGTTTATTCTTTCTGGTTTCCTTCTTGTTGAAGGAAGGGCTGGTTTGTACAACTCTAGTGAACTGATTCAGGGAATAAAAATTCTGAAGAGAATCCTAATTTTCAAATTCAAAATGTTTACTTCAAAATAACTATAGTCTTTAAGAAAAATTTGTTGAATGATTAGATTCCCAACTCTGATGAGGAACATCATTCTAATGTAAACACTGACATTGTGCTAAGCAATTTTCCTATATTTACTCACTTATTTCTTGTAATAATTCTATGAAGCAAGACTTGTTTTTATCTTCATCTCACAGATGAGGAAATTGACTGAGAAAGGTTTAATAGCTTTCCCAGGGCCTATGGTAGTAAGAAGCAAAGGCAGGATTTGAATCCAGTAGCCTAACTGCTATAATGGACTGCCACTTGGTAACAAGAATCACCATTCTGTGTACTGATGCTCTCGCTAAGAAAGAGAAGTCCATTAACTTGGGTGTTTGGTGCATAATGAGATCATTATGGAAACTTAGAGCTTTTTAACTTTCTACAAATGTGAGTTAGAAAACTGTAGTTGCCAAAGTTAGGTGGCCACAAGGGTTGCATTCTTGGGGACCTCAGCATCTTCAAGCTTTGGAGCCCGGTAAGTAGATGTGCAGGCATCTGGAGAAGTGTTAACAGGTAATAATTCAGTAAAGACCAATAAAGCATTGGAAACTGAGAAATATTCTGACGAAGAGCTAAGACCACAAGGCTTAGTGATAAGAGTATATCTGATTCTTTGAAGAGGGTTTGAATAGTGAAAAACATAAATGAGAAAAGTAAAAACATCACATTAATCATTGGTGGCTTCTCACCCTGCCCTGAACTTGGCTTTATTTATGTACTGTACGCCATCCCTTTCTGACTCAGAATCTCTTATACGCATGTGATTTCCTCTTCTGTTTTCATTAAATTGTTTTTACAAATGATCTGTCTCTATTTTAGTGCACTTTTTCTCGTGTCAAGCCTCCATGTGCCCCTCTGATCCCACTGTAAACACTCAATCAAATGTAACCCATCGACCTCACGCTAGAACCCCTTTCCATCCTCTCCAGACGTGCCAAGCCTCTTCCCTTTCATAATCTTACAATTCCGGAACTATTGTTGTCCTCTTGCTCAACTTGACTTTCTCCATTGCCCCTGCCTGCCCCTGCATTTGTAAAAAGATATTGCTTGAACAGGAATAAGTTACTAGGAGTGTGCAGGGTGCTACTTTGACATTAAGTTTAAAAATACTTCCCACTTACAGTATAAAACTCATGGTTCTTTGGATAAATCTTTACATCTTAAGCATTGAGCTGGTTACAGATTTCCTTGTATTGGGTTGTTCCATGTTGAAAACTATAGATTAAACTTGAAAATGTCCCTGTAAAACCAAAGGTTAAAGAATAAAGCTATCCTTAGAGAAACAGAGAATGCCGAAACAAGTACCTGGAAAAATTATTTCTACTAGCATTTTTTAAGAAGAACATGTGAAATTATGACTAGTGCATGGCTTTTGCCAGCTAGAGATTGGTAAGTATGGTGATTGAATTATACCATCCTAAAATTTTATACAAGAAAACTCTTTTTCTAAGAAACCTCACAGAACACTTTATTTCTATGCACTCTTTAGAAAATAAAGTAACATTCACTCACTCACTACTGGTTTGTTTTTTTTTTTTTTTTTTTACTTTAGCATGCATTTTTATTTGTGAGAAGTGGCATAGCATATTGATTAAAGGCATAAGTTCTTAGGTTAAACTATCTGCTTATAAATCCTCAACCCATCACTTGCTACCTATGTGATATCAGACGAATTACTTACTACTTGCAATCCTCAGTCAATGGCATAATAATAATCATCACTCACCTATGTTGTACAAATGAGAAAATATATGTAATAAGGTTAGCTTAGGATTTTAAATGCAATAATTCATCAGCTAGTACCAGCTTTTTTAGACTGTGAAAAAATTGATAATGCAGAAAGTCATTCATCAAAAGATCGTAACAGAATGGCATATACAAGATAATGATAATAATGCCAATTCAGAGGAATATATGAATAAATTTTGGAGGGATTAAGCAAAAACAAATAGTTACTATGATTAAACTACAAGTACTTTTTTTGACTTATTTAATGAAAATATTTTTATTAGAAAATTCTATTTATCTTTATAAATTATGTATTCTTTCTTGCATCTATATAGTCTATCAATTTTTTAAATTATACTTTAAGTTCTAGGGTACATTTGCACAATGTGCAGGTTTGTTACATATGTATACATTGCCATATTGGTGTGCTGTGCCCATTAACTTGTCATTTACATTAGGTATATCTCCTAATGCTATCCCTCCCCCTGCCCCCACCTCACAACAGGCCCTGGTGTGTGATGTTCCTCTTCCTGTGTCCAAGTGATCTCATTGTTCAGTTCCCACCTATGAGTGAGAACGTATGGTGTTTGTTTTTTTGTCCATGTGATAGTTTGCTAAGAATGATGGTTTCCAGCTTCATTCATGTCCCTACAAAGGACATTAACTCATCCTTTTTTTATGGCTACATTGTATTCCATGGTGTATATGTGCCACATTTTCTTAATCCAGTCTATCACTGATGGACATTTGCGTTGGTTCCAAGTCTTTGCTATTGTGAATAGTGTGACAATAAACATACATGTGCATATGTCTTTATAGCAGCATGATTTATAATCCTTTGCGTATTTACCCAGTAATGGGATGACTGGGTCATATGGTATTTTTAGTTCTAGATCCTTGAGGAATCACCACACTGTCTTCCAGAATGGTTGAACTAGTCTACAGTTCCACCAACGGTGTAAAAATGTTCCTATTTCTCCACATCCTCTCCAGCACCTGTTGTTTCCTGACTTTTTAATGATCACTTTTCTAACTGGTGTGAGATAGTATCTCATTGTGGTTTTGATTTGCATTTCTCTGATGGCTAGTGATGATGAGCATTTTTTCATGTGTCTGTGGGCTGCATAAATGTCTTCTTTTGAAAAGTGCCTGTTCATATCCTTTGCCCACTTTTTGATGGGGTTGTTTTTTTCTTGTAAATTTGTTTGAGCTCTTTGTAGATTCTGGATATTAGCCCTTTGTCAGATGAGTAGATTGCAAACATTTTTTCCCATTCTGTAGGTTGCCTGTTCACTCGGATGGTAGTTTCTTTTGCTGTGCAGAAGCTCTTTAGTTTAATTAGATCCCATTTGTCAATTTTGGCTTTTGTTGTCATTGCTTTTGGTGTTTTAGACATGAAGTCCTGCCCATGCCGATGTCCTGA